GCTTCTTTGGAACCCAGGCAGGTGCTTGTTAATAGATACCTGACCCTGTAAATTCCCTGCCTAAAATGGAAATTCCTGGTACCTGGGAACCTGGAACTAGCCTTTTCAAAGCCGCCTTTCCCGCCATGCCCTCCATTCCTCCCAACTGCTGTCCTACCATGAAGCCTCCCTCTGAGCGCAAACCCTGCCCCCCCTTGGTTCTTCTCAAAATATTAAGGAAGTTTCTTTAGGAAGGGGATATACAATTTCTGTTTTCAGCCCTACAATAAGACGCCTTTGGGACCACTTTTAAGATCCCTCTAAAATATCCTTCAGAACCTCTTAATAATTTGTTGATGTTGGGAGTTACAGTGATAATTCATTTTGCTTTTTAATTTTTCTGATCAACTCCAATTATTAGGTAACGACATGCTTCTCAGACTGCAGCGTGCACAGCCCCAATTCTGTGCAGAGAGGATGCAAAACAGCAGAACACCTGTGGTACAACTTTCTGGACCATTACTTTTACAATAAGATTTGGAAGAACTGAAGTTAAGTAACTTACAAGGTTAGTATAAGAAACATTCAAACCTGTGAAGAATTTTTGTGAGTTTACTTGAGCCAAACTGTTGACAAATGCCGGGAAGTAAAATCTCAACAGATTGAGAGAATGTTTCAGAGACTGGCACCTTATTTTATAGACTACAATCAAAAGAGGAGATGTATGTGGGTTACGTGAAATTCACTGGTGATAGATTAGGGAGGCGGGAGGAAGCAAAGTCAGGAAACCGCTGGGATTGGATAAAAAGTAAAGTGATAGACACATACTTTTTTACATAGGTGGGTGCAGGACAGTTAACAGTCAACAGTTAACAACAGTGATGAGCTTTGTGGTCTCTGTAGAGCGGTGCCTGTGCTTTGAGGGGTCTGGAAAAAGGGAAATTACCTTGACATTCCAAAGATATGTTATTGTAGATGATAAAGACAATAGGCTCAGTTAGGGTAAAGATTGACATTTGTCAGGGAAGATTCTGGCCTAGGACATGACTACCTACCATAAATTGCTTTCAGTTAAAAAGTTTTAATTTCAGACCATCCTTTGTGATTACTTTAGGTCTCTGAGTTTGCAAGGCCTCCACACAGGCCTTCCCTGAGCTAGTCAGGTTAGCATGTGGCTCCTTTTCGCCCACAGTATTAAAAAATTTAAAATGAAGACAAAGCTGAAAAGTCACCTGGTGGTTATTGTCACTAACTTGTGCCCAAAATGTCAGACTGTCGTGGAGAAAATGCTAAGAGAAACCTATTTCTCCTTATTTTAAATGGGAAAAAAATTACAGTGGTACCTCGGTTTTCAACTGTCTCCATTGACGAACATTTTGGTTTACAAAGGCCGTAAACCTGGACATCAATGTGCCTTGGAAGTCGAACCTGCCACCTGGCTTCTGCTGAGGGCAAGATCCTGAGGCCTAGCTGTCCGCTGTGGATCCCTTGGTTTTTGAACGTTTCAGAACTCGAATGGTCTTCTGGAACGAATTGCATTAGAAAAGCAAGGTACCACTGTGTAAGGAATAGCGGGTCCTTTGAAAAACTCTAGGCAGGCGCCCTCTAGAGCACACCCAAGCCATCTTCCCCCTTTCTTTCTCAGGCTCGCTTTTTCTCCCTAAGTTTTAAGGGTCCCCACAAAACTTGCATCCAGGGGAGCAATGGGCTGAGGCAGCTCATCCCAGCTAACCCCCTGAACCTGTCTCCAAGGCCTGCTTTTCTATGACTTATCAGTGAGGCAACAGCAGCCTCACCTTGGCTCACTTCTTTCCTACGTCTCTAGAGAGCCAAAGCAGCCCCTCCAGGGCTCTCCCCTGTTGCTGCTTCTATCCTAAGCCATTCCTTGTTTCAGTGTCCCCAGGTTTAATAAACATACTCTGAAAATCAAAAAGAAAAACTCTACCAATTTCCTAAATCACAGTGTGACACCTAGACATAAAGTACAAATATATTCAGATGTAAAATGCTTAAAACATTGCATCTTGGTCAGTTCACAATTAAGTAGTGGTGTCCTCCCTGAAAGCAGCAACATCATATTTGTTCATCTCCTTCATTGATATTCCAAAGCTTTGCCAAGTGACTAGTGTGATTCTGATGGTCTACCAATTGTATTTGGAAGCAAGATGAAGCTTTTCTAGCAAACCATTTAGTTTAAAATGTTTTAGTAAGTTTTGAGGACTCAGTATATATTTTGTGAACATCAGCTGTAAAAACATGTATTGAGAGATAGATATCTGTTATGCAGTTTGGGTATTCAAAACTCAGACCTGTCTTTCCAGGGAAACATTACTCGAGGATTTGTTTTGTGGGGTGTGCCAGTATTGTGAAATAGAAAGCAAAAATCCCATTTATTTTACAGATTAAAGCTGTAACTTCAAGTAAATTTGGGGCTGAGGAGTCCTTTTGGCCCACCTTCCCAGAGTTCTATGCCTGCAACAATTCTTTGTCAATATCATTCATTTCCCAGTCCCTCCCTGGGTCATTTCTATCAGCATACAAAAACATGCTCTAAGATGCATTAAACAAAAAAATACTTCTTTTTACCCTAGATACCTTGTATGTACCATTCTGTTTCTCTGCTCCTTAGAGCCACCTGTCCTCACATTCTCTCCTGAACCCATTCCATTCTAGCTTTCCTCAACTCTACTTTATTGAGAAGTAGTAGTGTTATAGGATAGTAAGAAGCTAGGAAAATTCCAGGACAAGGGGGATAGCAAAACTAAGACAAATAGTTAAACAGCAGTTTGCAGCCACCTAGTAAATCCTATCTTCCTTAAACCAAAGACACTTAAGAGTAAGTGGTTTGCGCTGCTCTGCAACTAGAGGGTAAATAGCTTAAATCACCCTACTGAGGGAAACAGACAGCAGAAATCCAATTAGTGCCATTCACCAACTACACCCAAGGGTAGGCAAATTGAGAGAATAAATCTCATTTTGGTGCATCAGCATGATGATGTACCAGCTTTGGTAAAGCTCATGAATATTCTATTGAGCCTCCTCTAAAGTCTCAGCCTTTAAAACCCCTGAAAATGAAGGTCCCAGTGCACTTTCCCTCCAGGGAGCATGCCCATACCATTCCCTTTCCCCTCTCCTTCCCCCACAGACACGTACCTCCTAAACTCCAAGGGGAGCCCACAAGACTTGAAACCAGGGGAGCAATGGGCAGCGGAAGCTTGTCCTAGGCTAACCCCCTGACCCTGTCTCCAGGGCCCCCTTTTCTCTGACTTGCCAGTGAGCCAAAGCAGCCCACCCTAGGCTCTTCTGCTGCTTCTGTGCCCTTCCTAGTCTCACTGTGCTAAGTGTGTTTTTCTGCTGTCAGTAAATCTTTGCTTGCTTTTCTACATTTTGTCTCTTGATTGAAACCTTTGCTTCAAGAAGACAGGAACTGAGGTCTCATCTTCTCAACAGTAACAGTAGTGTTGGCCAAATTCAAAGCCAAATTTCTGTTCTTATCTCAGTCTTTTAGTTGTATTTGCTGCTGATGCTAAACTTGAGCACTTCTTCCTTATATTACTTGCATTTTCTTTTCCAGTGCTCTGGCATCTGGAAGCTTGTGACCAGGAAGGGACTTGCCAGGGTTAGCTAATTCCTAAAGGGGGCAAATAGTGTAGGAGCATGCCTTTCGTTTGCAAACTAGCTAATCCAGAGCCCACACCCTGCCACACCTCTCCTGTGGACTGTTATACTCCAGGCTAATATCCCCCTGCCCTAATTACCCCAGGGCCAGGTACCAGACAACTGGGACAGTCCCTGTACTCCAGGACCCACAATTATTCAGACCAGCTAATCCCAACCCTGCTTAGTCTGTGTACCCTGCCTCTCCCGTTTCTTCCTAGAGCAAGGTCTCTGGCTGGTGCTTTCCCCTCACTCCCGCTGCCTCCTGACTGACCGAGGTGCTTCCCCCGAGTGGCTCTGTGTGGCCTGCCACGCTGCCTCTTACCAGGGAGCCAAGAGTAAAAATGCTTCCTTCATGAGTCATTCACGAGGCATGTCTTACCATACCTGATTAGAACAAATCTCTGGGTTCACTGAAAAACTTTTCTGGAGTTTTGAGACTGCATCTCTCCTGGATTTCTTTCCAGCTCCGGCTGCCTCCCCTTCTCCACCAGGTCTCTAGTGACCCTCAACCCCCTTCTCTTTCCTGCCTGACCTCTCTTCTCAGGGTGGTCCCACACAGTCTCACAGCTTTTAATACACTATCTGCTGAAAAATGCCAGGTTCCCTTCCCCGGGGGAAGCACCAGGAGTCAAGCTTGCCTCTTTGCCCTCCTCACGCCACATGTGGTCCCTCACTGGCTCTGGCTGCAACACGCATCCTGGTTGCAGCCTCTCCATTCTCTCCATTCCTACCACCAGTTTCAGCCACCCTCCTCTCTTTCTGGTCTGTTGCCAAACAGCCTCCTGACCATCTCCCAGTTTTCTGTCTTGCCCTCCTACTGTTACCAGAAATGATACCTGGCCCTGAGCAGGTCTGCCTAGGGCCAGCCGGTGGTGTGTGGGTTGTTGATTTTGTGCAGGAAAAATTTCACAACATGAGTCCAGGTGAATTTTAGAGGACATTTTTTGAAATTGGGGACAGTGAAACACGGAAAGGCTGGGGAAATGAGCCTAGGCTGGTCTGCTTTGGCTAAGTGTTGTAGGCGGTGGGAATGGCACTGGGTGTTATACCCGTGGGGTCAGACTGGACCTGGGTCCAGCAACCTCGGTACTTGGATTCTGGCTAGGAAAGACTCCAGAGCCAAGACCCAAACTCTAAGAGAACATTTATTTGGTAAATCACAGAGATAGAAAAAGTAATTCCTAGAAGAAATGAGCTTAGGAAACAAGTTATAGAGGTAAAGGGCCCTTGGAGCGTGGAAGTGAGGAAGCTAATGGCAATGTGCCTGGGC